CCTTGCTTACAGTATCGCAATATATCGGGATATATCGTATCGTGACCCCTCTGTTATGATATGTATTGTATCGCCAAATTCTTGCCAATACACAGCCCTAGTTTCAAGCCTGAATACAAATAAACATTTTTCTAAAAAATTATCACGAAGTCGACTAAAAATGAATGGCAAAATAAGTAAAGATTGAAATAAAATCTTTCAGAGAGCAGCTTTGAAAACATTCTGATCAAGACAATTTGAAAGGATTACAAGAGAGACAGGCATCTTGGAGCAACATATAAAGGAACTAAAGATGACAAGACATTTTGCAAAGTACGCGTCATGCCACGTCTCCTGAAATCCGTAATGCCTGTTTTTCTTCAGATTTAAAGAAGTGCAACGAGCACCTCAACGTCTGCTGCCGGAATACTCAAGCTTCACACACAGTTTGACTGCCAAGTGCTCTCTGGGAAAGAAAAAAAAATTAAATGCAGCGCGAACAGCAACACAACAATGATTTGCTTAGCACCAAAAGATGACAGCAAAAATAAAAACTAGACACATCAGCCAGCTTCCGGTCTGCCACCCACACAGCAAACACACACACACACACACACACACCACCACCACCTTCTTCTTTGTCTCAAGCAGGCGAGGCAGAACAGTTATTTTTAAAACTTTCTCTCTCCGTATGGTTTTGTTTTCCACACTTCTGCACCAGTTTGACTGGTGAACAACTTCAGTAGGGCATGGATAATCTTGAATATTTCCATACCATTAATCTGCACCTCTAAATAATTGAAGCAGGGCTGAATTATGATGAGACGATGCTGCAACAACTTTTTTTCTTTTGTCTTCCTGATGACTCAGTAGAAGCACACACAGGGACTGACAACTCCTGCTGGGTCAAATCTCCCCCTCAGGTTACAGTATTAAATATTCACGCCGTACCTTTGCATAATTTACCTTGTCAGCATACCAAGGAAATGGCCAGGACAAAATAGATGTGGATGGCTTGGGTTTGGGGGACGACAGCTACGTGCTCAGCAAATAAGAAAAAGGATGTTTTAAAACAAAGTTCAGGTAAAAGAAGCTCCAAAATGTGAGCACATACATTTCTGAGCAGGGGCCTAACAGGACTCTGGTTATCATAAAAGAGATGCTGATCTAACAGCTTTTAGGTAAAGCCGTGGGTGTATACCGGTCTGAGCGACCCCGCGTCTTGCCTTTTGTTTAAACACGGAGGAACGAAGCTAGCTCGCGCCATTTTTTTAATGCTAGTAGAACGGTCTTCCTTGTCATGTGATCTCTGCGAAAGGAACAAAAATAAAAAAAATTCCAGAGCGGCTACTGGAGCCTGACGCACATGGCGGCCCTGTCCGACAGATGTTTTTCGTTTGTGCTGCAGAGGATCAGAGGCACGGAGCCAGGGAGGTGATTCATGATGCGAGCCTCCTCCTTGTTAAAAGTCAGCAGACACAAACTGGGCTCCATGTTGAGATGAAACCCAGCCACTGGCTCTGTTTGGGGCAGACTTTCATGGAAAAAAATATGAAACAATAAACTTGTAAAATCAGAGGTTCACATGTTGAATGGAGAACTAGGCCTCAGCTTACTCTCATAGCAACCCATCTCTTGTGACCACCCTTATTTTACCATTTACATGACATTTAAAGCAGTTACTTCGTCCCAGATCTTTGATTTAAAGCAACGAAAATGGAAATCTGGGTGTCCCGTTTCATGATTCTGCCTTTACGTGACAGATTGCACTAAACGCTGCAAGCCTGATGTAACTCCTATTTGCATCAAAGTGTGAAATGAGGTCACATTTTGGCATTAGCTCACTACAGCGAAGGTGTGCGCGCTCTACTGGTTTGATGCTCCATTTAATCAGGGCAGGAGGGATGCCATCATGGGAAACACGCAAAACATAAACCCACCTGCCTGACCTGATTACATTTCACCCTCCTTGGTTTTATATCCAGTTTTAATTAAAAGGAATCACCGCCTTGTATATCTGAGATTTGGACTGAGATCATCTTATTTTGAGAAGCGACTGCGCTGTAGAAATTTTGGTCGAATAACATTACGCACAGGCCCGTGCAAAACTGTGAGATGTCACGTTGTGAGTGACTCTCAGCTACCATTAGAGCTGGGTGATATGGCTTAAAAATGTATCAGGATAAGTCATTCATATCAGTCCATATTGATAATTATTGATTAGTATTTTGTTTTACCTATTTGGTAAAAGGATACAGGAGAACAAAGGCTGATTAATACTGCCAAACTGGTGATGTGACTTTTCCTCTTTTATCCACAATTTCCTCTCAAGCTGTTGCACTCGTTTTCTCCTTTCACCCCACGCCGTTCTTTTTTTAAGCAGTTATGAGGCGAAACCTAAATCTGCTACTGTGTTTGTTATTTAAAACTTGTCGCTAGCTTACCAAATAGCGAGTGAGTTAGCTATTCCGCAAGAGGTCGAGTGGGTAAAGCCTTTCCTCTGCCTACATCCCCCAGTTCTGCAGTTCTGGATCGGAGTTCAGTGAAGTTTTCAACGACCCATTGGACAAATTTTTCCATGATACTGACCACGTGTCTATCGCAATATCTTTTTTAATTGAATTCTTGCCCAGTCCTAGCCACCATCACACCAAATTTAAGCATGTTATCTTTTAAAATGACAGAATTATAGCTGTTTGCGCTTTCTAAGGTCAGTCAGCTGTGGCAGCCATCTTAAATGCAGAGTTGGCTCCAAAGTTTTGTGAGCTGTGGATGTACATCTAGTAATTGCTTCCAAAATGTTTAATTTAAACTAGGGATGTCCCGATCCAATCTGATTTTTTAAATGGTTAGTCTTTCCGATACCGATCCGATAGCTTTATTTCTTTCCAAGTGACAAGGTTGGTAGTATTAAATTGAGCCCTGCTGTTCCCACCACGAGAAACATCCAGTTTGCAGATTTTGCAAGCTGCAGTTTCAGTATCATTGTTTTCCGTTGAAAAGTGTTCCCACGCTGTGGACATGGTTGCATACTTGTGTGCATCTACACTTCTTAATGGCAGTTGTAAAGCATGATGATGCTGAAAACTGTCGTGAAAACTGGATCGGCCCGATCACATGACAAAATCTGATTCTACCTGATTTTCAAAAACTGGCCATATCTGCCACCAATATCGAGTATCCGATGGGGACATCCCTAATTTAAACCCGTCTAGTGGTTCATGAAACCTTTTGTTAATAGACAGATAAAGTGGACTCCAACTAGATAATGTCAAAGTTTTAAATGAAGATCAAGTGCATTCTGTTGGTGCTTGAAACACATGTTGGAGATGACTCTATTACGACTGCGCCAAATTTTAGGTGAACGTCTGTAAATTTGATTTGGTAACAGCCAAGTTGTTTATTTATTTTTTTAAGTCAGCTGACTGGCAGCCAACTTGAATCTGGCTGACTCCAAAAATTAACCAGTTGTAGATTCGTCCGTCCGTTTTCTTTCGCTTAACCAGGGCCGGGTCTAGGGAGCAGCAGCCTAAGCAGAGAGACCCAGACTTCCCTCTCCCCAACCACTTGGACCAGCTCGTCCGGGGTAATCCCAAGGTGTTCCCAGGCCAGCTGAGAAACATAGTCCCTCCAGCGTGTCCAGGGTCTTCCTCTGGGCCTCCTCTCAGTGGGATGTGCCCAGAACACCTCACCAGGGAGGCATCCAGAAGGCATCCTAACCAGATGAGCCACCTCAACTGGCTCCTCTCGACGTGGAGGAGCAGCGGCTCTGCTCTGAGTCCCTCCTGAATGACTGAGCTTCTCACCCTATCTCTAAGGGAGAGCCCAGACACCCTGCGGAGGAAAGTCATTTCGGCCGTTTGTATCCGCGATCTCATTCTTTTAGTCACTACTCAAAGCTCGTGACCATAGATGAGGGTAGGAACGTAGACCGACCAGTTGTATGTAGTTTCCAATTATTACTTTCTGAACATTTATTTTGCTATCAGATAGATGCAGGCAAAAAAAAAAATAACAGCGTTGCCTTTCGATGGCGTGCGATGAAGACATCCAAGTCTGTTTGTATGCACCCAGGCTTGTGCAAAAAAGGGAGAAAATGAACCTGAAACATCCATATCTGACAGCAGCCAGTGACTAAAATGGGTCTTTTTTTCCCCTCCCTGTCACACAAACACAGCTAGAGCCTGGCAGCCCTGAGTTATGTAACACTGAACACAGAGAGCTGCAGGCCTGAGTGCACATCCTTCTATTCCCTGCACTCTACCAACAAAGCCTGTCTCCTCCTCTATTATTATTATTATTATTATTATTATTATTTCATATGTTTGGTCAGAAACAGCTGCAAAATCCCCCTCATATATAAACAGTAGACTACACTGACTGCATCATCAGTCTGAATGTATAAAAGTGAAATGTATGGATTTTCACATTTAAAGGGGCGTGCAAGTATTTTTTTAAAATTGCACTCTTACGGCAACAGGTGCAATTTTGAGCGGCGTTTGTGCACCATGAAGCCTATTCTGTACCCTCTGTTGAGTTATAAACACCTTAAAAATAGCCAGCCGTGTATTTCCAGTTGGTATTTTCTGTCTGAAGCAAACAAAATGAACGGGGAAGGTCGTTTTATCCGCCCCCCCCCCTCTCTCTCTGTGCGTGGCCTCCTTACCTCCTCCAGCACGTTCACGGTGTTCCTGCAGCTCTGCATGCGGGTGGTGAAGCTGGACGTGGTCGGGGAATTGTAATCCTCTGTCGTCTCCGAGAGAAACTCGGACACCGATATTTGATCCGGCATCCTTTAACGGGGGGATAGAGGGGAGGGAGGGGATAAAAATGCCCAGAGAAAGGCTCGGCGATGAAGCTTCAGAAAGACAAAAGCATGAAAGAAGAATGACATAAAAAAAAACAAAGCTGATGGTTGGCGGGGTGCAAGACGAAGGAAGGACAACGCCGCGTTTTCCCTCCCTCCCTTTTGCAGAGCTGTTGAAACTCTCGGGATGATCAGGACGTGTCTTTATCCTTCTTCTCAAACGACTTCGGTGTTCTCCGGGGAGGAATCCGTCTTAAACCGTACAKGGGTGCGTCCCCTCGGCGAGTGTTTTCCTTGTGAGAGACAGGTCTGAAAAACGACACGTTCCTATAGTGTCACCCCCGCGTCTTGACTAAACCTCGGAGAAAGAGCCACGGTGAAGAAATGCCTTCATTATGATCTACAGATGTGCAAAAAAAGGAGAGAGAGACGCGCGTGTCGTTAAAGCAGGCGCACCGTTAGCAGCCCGAGTGTGGGGTTTTAGCATAGTCCAAAGTCGTCTGGAACTGCGCCGTGGTTCGGTCCTTTCCTCTTCAGCCGTAGTTTGTGTGTGTGTCTTTTTTTTTTTCTTTTCTTTCTTTCTTTTTTTTCCAACAGCCACACGGTGCCGCAGACACACTCACTGCTACTCTCTCTTTCGCTCTGCTGCGTTCAGAGCTGTGTTCCGTGGGCTCGAGTCGAGCTAATGTTAATGGAAAACACAACTTCCGGTAAAACGTTTCAAAATAAACTCAATCCATTTAGGACTCATTGAAATGGGTACCCATTGCAAAGCCTGAAACCAAACATTAAAATGAGAGATGCTCGATATTGACTTTTTGCCGATATTCGATATGCCGATATACTTGTCATTTTCTTCCACAAAAAAAAGGAGTTAAACCAGCCATTCTGATCATTCTGATATTGTTCAACACTTAATTTCTGATTCCGACAGGGTCATTATGCCTGTTTTTACTGTGATAGCTACCCCACTGGATGAATTCCATAAGTAAACATTGTACAAATAATATTAATAATTTAAAAAAAAACATTTCATTGAAGTTATGGGAAAAGTCATATTTATTTATTTTTTTTACATTTTGTCTCAAACAATAGTTTGGATCATGCTCTCCATTCGATCCAGTTTGATGTCATCGATCGTGCACCGTTGAACGTCTCTGGACCACAAGCATTTATTAACACATTTTGATCAAATCCAGGCGTTAATTTATCAGGCTTTTGTTATCAGAAGAAAAACCAATACTGATATGTTTACATTTTTATGCTAATATCGGACCGATTGTATCTGTAGGCTGATATTATCGGACATCGCTAATTAAAATGTTATCACGAGCTATAATGATGCAGTCTTCTCTAGTAATCCTGAATCTGCTGATAAACGACGTGGAAGTAGGATTGACCTCCATTAGTCTCGTTGTAATCTGTAAAAGTAAACAAATGTAACAAAATCAGACCTGTGCAGAATCTCGAATAGGATGTTTAGGTGGAACTACGTTTAACTACAATTATTTCTAACAAAAGGGTGTGTTTTATTTTGAAAACCGACTAGCACAGGTTTTGGTATGTGTTGCTTGACGTAAACTTGACGCAGTTTTCTTCTACCCWCTTGACGCTGACGAACAGCGTCAATGCGCATGCGCGCTCTCTGACTGCGGAGTGGTTGGTTGAATGTCACAGAATGCATGTAAAAACTAAAAACAAACATTTTAAAACTGTGTCTGCAGCTGCAGATAAAATACACGTTACATGCTGCTAAAATACATTCAAAACTTGCCAAAAGACCCTTACTTGTTTAATTGTTGTTTTTTATCTGCATTATCCATGAAAATATTCCCACATGATTGAGGGATTTAATCTATTTTCCTCTCCCAGATACAAAACAGACAGTTATTTATCTCAGAGTCTGTGATAAATCTATTAACAACAACAAAATAGGTGTTTTCAAAGAATAATCTTTTCATTCACTTTCACTTCCTTTTTAAAACTACATAAATGCAAAAGGGAACACACCACACAGGAAAATGTGGTCAACATCAAAACTTACAAAAAGGAATGTTTTACCTCAAACTCTCCATCATCACAAGATAAGGCAGATTATTTTAACACATCAAACCACTTTATTCCGGTCTTTATATTTATCAATTCTGATGTTTTCCATTTTATGATCATCTGAACTATTTGAGATATTTAAAACCGTTTTTTTTTTGTCCCTTGATTTAAGGTCTGTGCTTGCAAAATTAGTTACTATGAGGAATTTTAAATAGTGAATGAAAATTATTTTCAAATTGTTCATGTCCAGCTTTAAAATCACGCGTAGATTGTTGAAAGCTGGCCATTATCACCTGACCAGCAGCTTGAAGGGATTTCATGGTCAATTAAAATAAAATAAAAATGTAAAAGAATAATTTGTGAAAACACACCTACTAGATTTTTTGTTTAAAAATGCACAATTTATTAGATTGTGGATATATCTTTACGTAACTCCTAATTACAGAAAAATATCGTCACTTTTCTCGTTTCTCCTCAAAAATATATATTTCAGATGTTCAGCTTCATTCTGGATATCTGGAGCAGAAAGACAAACACACTAGGAAAAAAAATTTTTTTTTTGAGGAAAATAAGATTGTTATTCTAAATAATTTAATAATTCTGTTTGACTACAGAAAGAACTAAATGACAGATGTATTTTGAAGATCCGGTGCAACTTTTAAGATAAATCGGCTTGCCATACTTTGTATGAACTCAAACTAGAAGCGCCATCCTGTGGGCATGTTTTTTTCTTTCTTTTCTTTTCTTTTCTTTTCTTTTTTTCTTTAATAATTAGGCAGAGTTGTAGAAGAAAATACTGCATCACAATGAAAAGTAAAGACCTAATAGTTTGACAAATACATTAACTAAATAAAATATAAATATATTATATTTGGATAAGTTTGAGTCAAAGATAAAATTAGGAATAATTTTCAACCACGTTTCAAAAAAAGATGACGTGTGAAGTAAAATGTATCGAAAACTATTTTTATTTCTTTTAATCCTATATGATAAATCGTGTTATTTAACTCTGTGTATACTGTATTTCATATCCGTTTGCAGGAAATGTCTATCTGAAAGCCCTTTATTTTGAAAATATCGAGCGGAAGTTCCGGTCTCGACTCAGGTCAGGTGAACTTTACGACGGTAGCTCGCTTTGCTAGCCTAGCTGTTTTTCGTTGGTGAGTTGAAGCAAACGGAAGGAAATTCTTATAGTTTTTAGGAATATTCGTGTCAGTTTCACCAACAGGAGGTGAAGTGAAGAGGAGGACTCTGTCTCTGAGGATCTGGTTSAACTTGTCACCTCTTTAAAAACAACCTGCCGTTCGTAAACTTGGTCGAAGCAGCGGAGTTCAATGGCTGAAGGCTACTCAGGTAAAACATATACTCACTAAATTACCAACTYGTAAAGATATCCTGAGTTGGGTTTTCATATTAAAATTAAATGAGCCCTTAATTGGGCACGCTAGCATGTTGACATACATAGATGGTTAATGTCACGCTAATATCGGCTTCGCTAGCTTCGTTTTAGGAACTTTTAAAGTATAGYAAATGTTAAATGTTGSTCTAAAAGAATGCTCAACTCAACCWTTAGTAATYTCTGACATAATAWGAGACGGAGACTTTGAAACCGACATCCACCTGACCTGAAACAGGACCTAAATAAGCGGCATGTGACCAGTTAGCTCCAGCAGCTAAGGCTAAGGCTAGTGCTATTTCACAACATTTAATGACAGAGCTGAAGCCACAGGTAATTATTGATAATATTATTGGTTGTTTAAGTCAAGGGGCTTTATAACAGCATTATACTTGTTCTAAGGTCCACTAATTACGGATATATAGCAATTTTAATGCGACTATACTGTGTTATAGATTAATCTGGATTGAACAGCTCTTTATGTTTGTTAATTTAAATCAGAKCCTGATTATATCATCTATAAATAAGTGAACTTTGTTTAAAAGAGCCCCGACATTTTGTAATCTCTTATAGAGTTCGGCTGTTTGAAGATATTTAAAAGTTTTTCTTTAGCTTTTGTTTTGTTCGTTACCTGACCATTTTCAGAGGGTTGGATTTTATATTTGTTGTTTGTCTGTTTAAGCTTTTTTAATCCATTACCTTTATCATTTGGGCATAAAAAGTTCCTAAACCCAAGGGATGAAACACTTTTATATTAACTCAAACTCAGCACAGAGCCTATTTCAAATGGAATCTTAAAACAATTTCATGTATATGTTTTCTATATTTATTATGAATGTGTTTGTCAGTGGTTAGTCATTCATTTACCGTCACTATTTCTGTTTGCAGACCCACCTGAATTCAGTCCAGATGTGACAGCACATCAAAACAAATCTAGAAGAGGAGGACCCAGATACAACAATGATCGAAACCTGAGTAGTAAGAGCTACGAGCCATTTCAGCAGTCCGGAAACCTTCATCAGGCCTTTAAACACCCATTTGGCCAAAGCGGTTTAAATAACCCAGAGAATAACCCTCCTCCTCATCAAGGAGAGGATCTATTCAGAAGGAGGGGCAGAGGTAGAGGAAGGAGAGAAGGAAATAGAAGTCTAAATGGAAATTTTGGTGGTTCTGGCTCCTGGAGGCACAAATCTGGGGCTGATTTTGGCCAGTATGATGCGAGTAATAGGTACAGACACGGCTTCCAGACATATCCCATGGATGGACCTGAAGGACCCAGCTGGAGGAGAGAAGGCATAAATAGAGATTTGGAGCCGACCAACCTGGAGCAGGGTGCTCACATTAAGAAGCCCAGGAGTGCTGGCCGGGAGCAGAGGAGGGGAGAACAGACTGAGAGGAATGATCAAACAAAGGAGAACCACACGACTGCACCGGGTCATAGGCCACACGGTGCCAGAGAAGAAAAACACCCAGTTTCAGAGAAGAATGAGAGAACCCCACAGAGCAAACCCGGTTCCAAACCTCAACACTACGATCACCAGAACAAACACGACGACGTGAAGCGGCGGCACGGACCCATCAAACCGCCTAAACCACCTGCTGGAGAAGAGGCGAGCTCAGAGAGCGGCGCTGCTGACCGGGTTGACTCTGACCGGATCAGACCACCTCAGGATCCTGGCTGTCAGCCTGGAAGAGGCTCAGGACCACACAGACCCTTTCAGAGCAAAGTGGGGAGAAGAACGAACTATTCGAACAACAAACAGGGTCTGAGGAGCTCAGAGAAGATGCCCAAGAGCAAAGAGACACAGACAGGTTAGAAGGACATTTCTGCAAATTACAGTGTGGAGGTCAAAGAATAGATCTCCTGAATTTCACATTTTAGAGTTTTTTTTTTTTCTAATAGTTATGACTCAGATTAGATTAGTACCTTAAGTGAAGCTAACTGTATCTAAAGAGTTACATGGCGTCAACAAAGGCTTTGTTTTGATTATGTTGAGGCTGTTTATAGAAACATATCTTTATATATTCTTGGGTTGTTTTTTGTTGGGGCAATAATCACTGAAATAATTACTTGTTTATCTAAAAGTTGCACGATTTAGTTCTCCATGATACATTTACCATTTGCCTTTTGTGTATAAACGCTTGTGAACTGAACTGTTTGGCCTTTCATCTGTCAGCCAGAATGTTTGTTTGTCAGCTGCGCTCTGAACCTCTGCCCTCCTTCCTCCTCAGGATGTCTGATTGAACAGCTGTCCGAGGAGAAATACGAGTGCATGGTGTGCTGCGACGTGATTCGGCTCATGGCCCCGGTGTGGAGCTGCCAGAGCTGCTTCCATGTCTTCCACTTGAACTGCATCAAGAAGTGGGCTCGGTCCCCGGCCTCACAGGCAGACGGTACGGCCGTTTTAATGCCACATTGGCGTTTCGAACCCTCGGGAGCTGCTCAGCAGTGTTCTGCAAAAAAAAACAAGGCGATATGTTTTGTTTAGAGCTGGTGCCTGTTCCTGAGGCCTGCTGATTTAACACTAAAAAGTAGATTTTCTTTAAATATTAGATTTGTTTTATATGTAAAAACAAAAAAAGGTCAAATTAAGCTTTTTCTTTTTTCTTTTCGTCCAGATTCAGCTGAAGGTTGGCGTTGTCCAGCTTGCCAGAATGTTGCTCTGAAGCATCCGACCACCTACACCTGCTTCTGTGGTGAGCACATGTTTGATCCGTGCGAACACTCACAGCTCTCTACCCTCGGCACGTCTCGCTTTCGGGTCACGGGTCTAAAGTCTGTCACGTCTTCCCGTTCTGCACGAAACTAAACATTCACTTTGGTTCCATGTTTGATTGGCAGGTAAAGTGACAAACCCTGAATGGCAGCGCAGTGAGATTCCCCACAGCTGTGGTGACATGTGTGGGAAGAAGAGGAGTGGAGTGGACTGCAACCACCCCTGTAACATGTGAGCTGTGAAAACTCAKCTCGCTCTGCTTCTCTTTGTAACATCTCAGGATGAAATATAACGTTGAAAAGAAACACAGTTTTTGCACTTTGGCTATTTTCTCTGTTGTATAGTTGTTTTACTTGTTTTTCTAAAGGAGAATGGAGATTTTAAAGTAACATGTAGGTCTACATTTTGGTTTAAAATTAAATTGAAAAGTAAAACCACCTGTTTACTCCTAGGTGCTTGAATAGGAAAAAAAATTAACTTTAGGACTTTTTTTTTATAAAAATGTTTAATCTCATTTAAAAGTCTGCTTCAGTTTTAATGATTGACTTGGAGTTTAAAGCTTAAAAACTGTGACTAGGATGATCACACCTACAGAGTAAAAGTAAAAAAAAATTGAGGCATGTGTAAAAAGGTTTGGATGCAAAAACTGCTCAGATTAGATTTAACTTTTCTCAGATAAATTAACGTATCTCCAAATCATACATTTTTTTATGAATCAAAAAAAAATCAACCCTGTTTTTTTTTTATTTACAACACAATAAAGACAAACATTATAGACAATCTTGCAACATTTCATAGCAAAGCAAAGAACTAAAACAAACAAAAAGAAGATACAGAGAGTGAAAGGAGAAGTGAAATAAATAAATAAACTGAGCTGTAAAGTAAAACAATGTGATTGATCTTAATATTAGTCAAAATACCAGTATTTGAGGATAGGTAATTAATAAATATAGAGTAATGTACACAAAATTTATTGAATAAAAATAAATAATTAAATAAATAAATGAATAAACGTAAAAAAATGAATCAGCTGGTTAAAGGGGCAAATAAATAAATAAGTACATACAATCAAATACAAGAAAAATAATTTGTACATTCAACATCAACCCTGTTTGATTGTGCTTCTTCTTTTTTGACATGTCTAAAAGCCATTTTTGCTTTTATTTATTTATTTATTTTGTTGAATCTGACTTCAGTGTTGGTGCGACAGTTTTTATTCTCTAGCACAAAATGAGTCTTCACGATAAAAAATATATAGAAAAAAAACTAAATGTCAGAAAATAGCAGCTTGATCATAAATGTGGGACAGGTTCTTCCATACATGCAACATATATTGTTAAACATTTCCGTAAACGTTTAGGAGCTGGACTTTTGTTTTCATGTTGACTCTTGTGTCTCTCCTCAGCTTGTGTCACCCTGGACCTTGTCCTCAGTGTCCTGCATTTGTAACCAGATCCTGCGTCTGTGGGAAGACGAGGTCATTTAGATTCAGCTCAGCCTTTTTACTGTTACACTTTGCAGTGTTTTGTGTTTTCACGGTGTCCTTGTTGCGTTGGATTTGACACCTTTATTGTTGTGTTGTCGTTCAGTCAGCCAATGCGCTGCGGCCAGGCTTCAGCGCTCCAGTGTGACAAAGTGTGCGGCGCCTTACTCAACTGTGGCGAACACACCTGCACGCAGGTGTGCCACAGCGGCACCTGTCAGCCCTGCCAGCTGCAAGTTCAGCAGAGTGAGTTAAATGTGGCTGAACCACGCTGAAAACCAAGAGGAACCAACTGATGTTCAGCACCTGGTGTTTGTAAAATCATCCYTTTATTTTCCATCTGTGTGTAGCTTGTTACTGCGGAGTCACGACTCGTACGGTCCCTTGTGGCACCGATAAAGAGGCGCTTCACGGCTCAGGACATTTCTCTTGTCAAAAAGTTTGTTCAAAGTAAGTGACTGCATCACTACAGATGTTTATGTTTAGTGAGATCGTTCCTTTCGTAACCCAGCTGTGTTTTCCGCTCAGGATGCTGAGTTGTGAGGCCCACCGCTGCCTGGAGCTGTGCCACCCCGGGCCGTGCCAGCCGTGCCCCCGCTCACCCAGCCTGGTGAAGACGTGCCCCTGCGGTCAGACCCCACTGGCCAAACTCCTGGAGCTGGGCTACTCTGAACGACAAACCTGCTCCGATCCCATCCCTTCTTGTGGAAAGACGTGTAACAAACCGTTACCTTGTGGCTCCAATGGTGAGGAGAAACGTCTCTTCAAAGAACATTTGTGAATTTCTTCAACCTGAAGCACTTCATCCCAAAAGCATAAATTCAGAGTAGAGTTCCAAAAAATGCAAACAAATGTTGGAGTCAAAATATGCACAAGTCCTTGGAGCTTTCCAGCAACATCTGTTAGTAAAATGAGTTTTATGAAGTGAAAAATAAAACAACTTGTGAGAATTTAGAGGCTGTAGCAAAACAAAACCTGAAGCAAAGTAAGTTTAGTTTTCCCCCTCCTGGTMTACAGTGAATGCATCATTATTTAAAGTTAGAATGGGAGGAAATAAAGATGATGAGGATGGATTTCTTCTACTTTAAGCTGAAGAGGTAAAAATCTGAACAACTCAATGAAAGACTGTTGAAAATCAGATTTTTGTATTAACTTAAAACACTTAAATGTTTGCTATCAAATACAAAWACAGTGGAGTTTCTGTTATTATATCCATCAAACGTGATGCGTAACTTGTTTTTATATAACTGACAATGAGTTGAACGTCTGACATAAGTATGATCCCCAACGTTACAGTCATCAGAGTTCCCTAAATTAACTCTTAACATCTTCTGTTTTCATATTTGTGTCTGGGATCTATTTTCAGACAGAACGGTTCTCATGTCTTCCTGGTGGTCTATTGTGTTTGTGTTTGTAYTGTAAACAGGACGTGCATTATCTTCAGCCCACTGGTGTTGTTTTTAAAGTTTTTTTTGTCATGAGATAACGAGCCTCTGTTATTTTAGACACCATCCATTTGTGTCAGAATTTATGCCACGAGGGCAGCTGCGGGCCGTGCTCTTTGACCTCAACCATCAGGTGTCGTTGTGGCTCCAAGACTAAGGTGGGAACTTGATCAGCAGGATGGTTTTTATTTATTCTTTGTTCCTGTTTTCAAAGATTTAAAAGATTTTCCGATTGTTTTGTTTTCAGGAGGTACCGTGTGCTAAAATCCAAAAAGAAGGTATTGTTTTTTTTTAATGAGTCCAGTTCAACTTGACCACGTTCCTGACTTGTCGTCTTACATTTCATCTGTGATCTTCTCGGTTCAGAAGAGCTCGTGTTCACGTGTGAGAAACGCTGCAACAAGAAACGCTCCTGTGGTCGACACAAGTGTGGAGAACTCTGTTGTGTGGTGAGTCGTCATGAGACCTGACTCAGCATTTATCATATAAAGTCGTGAATCTTTAGTCTCAAATACCAGACCTTCTGAAAAATTTAATTAACGGGGGCACATCATGCAAAATCCACTTTTTTAGCAGTAAAATACATTTAGTTGTGTACTTGGGGTCTGTAGGAGTGCAGAGAAAAAGAATTTAGTATTTCCCGGTGCTGCGTAGATATCTTTAAATTCTGTTAGGGTCATATTCTTTAACCCATAGAGTTTTCTCTATTTTCTATGATGTTTTATGAAATACGTCAAATTATTTGTGACAGAACCTCTAAATAAGGTCTGGACTTACCAACTACAATTTGGTGGTCTTCATTCTCCTCTGGCTCCATCTTGTAAGGCTGGATGGACAAATCTTCCCTTGTTGACATCTTGTAATTAATTTATAAATAAAACATTACTGCACTGCTAGTTAACCTGTAACAAACTAGAATGGACTGTTAGGAAAGCTGGAAGGGGGGCAGGGTGTGAATTGCTTTGTTTGGCTTTAAAGAGACAGCCTCAAAATGAGTTGATCTGAGACACATCTCAGATAAAAGAGGGGCTTGTGGYGAAACAATGAGGAGAAATTCAGACCAAAGCATTGCAGTTCCACTTTATATAGACCCCAACTGAATGATTTAAATATGAAAAAGAAGGATTTAAAAGCAGGATATGTCTCCTTTTAAGGTGAAAAGAAATGTAAAGGAAAAGGGATTGCACAGTGTTTTCCTGGGTTTACCTTCTAAAAAAATCTATTTCCTTCCAGAAAAAATAGCCAAATTTTTAAAGTGCCTGTGACAACAGATGTTTGTAATAAATATGAAAGCATTTTTGTAAAGATGACAGTAATAACAGATTGAAATAAAATCACAACGCTGAGATGAGCAGTTCAGATATTTGCCTGTGATGTAAGAGGAAGTGATGACAAAAGGGGGGTGTCAGAATGTAAACGAGCGTCACTACAGTGGTCAACAGCACAGACTGAGAAGAATCTGATGTTTCTTTGGATTTTTTTGTGTCACTATCAGACATGAAGAAGAGTCGGAATTTAAATAATGTTTCAATAATCAAAGAGCAGGGAGTTTAATTTCTTAGAGTTCCCCTTTGATGTCACTTCGTGTTTCACTTCAAAGAAAATCTGCCAGTTATGAGACAAAATGGGTAAAATCGTGTGAGTTATGCCAAGTTTCTTAAATATAAAGATTTTTTTTACTTTTTGTATTTGAAGAATATGCATGTCACAGGAACTTTAATTTCCTCCGTTTTTTTCTAAGTTGTATTTTATTTTGCATGGAGGAAGATGTCATGCATGATAAATGAGGTTTTGTCTCAACAGTATGAAAGCCACTGCATTCAGAATTAGAAACATATATTGTGCATGCTAAAGGTTTTTCTGTTTTGATTTAATGAATGTCATCAATCCCGTAAAGCAGCCAGATGTTTTTTATTCAAATTTTGTGTTTGATCAGCTTGCAGAACACATTACAAAATGTTTATTTTTTGACCTTTTTTTTTTTTCATCTGTCCATGCAGAACGTGGAGCACAAGTGCTCCCTGATCTGTGGCTACAAGCTGAACTGTGGCCTCCACCGCTGCCAGGAGGTTTGTCATCGTGGAAACTGTGAACCCTGCTGGCAGTCCAGTGAGTCCTGCGCTCGTCTATTTATACGCCCAGCCTCAAACGCAACATAAAGCTACACAGTCCTCAGAAAAACATCTCATTTAGAGTTTCCATGTAATCTCTTGTTTCTTTTCTTGCCTTTGTGGTATTATGTTTGTCACTGAGCGTGTCACGGCTCCCCCTGTTGGCAGGCTTCGACGAGCTGACGTGTCACTGCGGGCTCACTGTGTTGTACCCACCGATCCCCTGTGGCACAAAGCCCCCTGAGTGCAAAAACATGTGCACAAAAAGACACGAGTGTGACCACCCAGGTACGATAGAACAATAACTGCTAACAGTGCAGCATTGACAATAACTCTAACAGCCTTTTCCTCTGATTTAGTGTTTCATAATTGCCACAGCGAYGACAAATGCCCCCCCTGCACCTACCTCGTTCAGAAATGGTGCATGGGAAAGCATGAGGTAATGTGCTGCAGAGATTACAAGTTTATGGCTTATAATTGAAGGAAAAGTCAAGCTTTGCTCGTTTCTTTTGATTCGCAGCAACGCAGCAACATCCCGTGCCATCTGCAAGACATTTCCTGTGGTCTGACGTGCAACAAGCTGCTGCCCTGCGAGATGCACCGCTGCAAACGGCTCTGCCACCGGGCCGAGTGTCTGCCTGAAGGCGGCTGCCAGCAGCCCTGCACGCTGCCTCGACCCGACTGCGGCCACCCGTGTTCAGCTCCCTGCCACAAAGGCAGCAGCTGCCCACGCACCACCTGCACTGCAAAGGTGCAGCACTATAAAAAAAAGTCCAGTCTGTGTATTTTTGTTATTTACAGCTCAGCAGACGTGATAACATCTACCATAAAACTGTAGCTTCAATAAATGTTTGTTTTAGATAAAATAACCGCGACACCTCTCCACAGCTGCTCTGGTTCTCATAAGGTCACTGTCAAGCCAGGAATAAGGTGACGTATTTGCAGACAAAKTGTTTTAATCAGCTTGTGGGGTCTTCACAGGTATCTCTGCAATGTAGCTGTGGTCGAAAAAAGGAAACTGTTGCCTGCGCTGAAGCTGCCAGCTCATATCAGAGGTCCGTTCTGCTCACTTTAAGTTCAGGTTTTTAACATTTTCAAAGCACCGCAGTTGAGATATTCTTATGTTTTGACCTCCAGGTATGCAGCCATCACCATGGCCAGCAAACTGTCAGACATGCAGCCCGGRGAGTCTATGGACATCGGCCCGCTCCTCACCAAGAAGGAGCTAAAACAGACAAGGTAAAGTTAGAAACAAGTTCTTGGAATTCATAGACAATTAAATACTTATTATTGTTTATTATTTTATTTAAATGTGACACTTGGAGCTGGTTCATTTTTATGCCATTTTAGTTTTTGCATGAAATAAATGAGGTTTTATTCACATTCAGCCTACAGATTTGAATTTGTTTACAGGCTTGAATGTGATCAGGATTGTGCCACTTTGGAAAGAAACAGGCGTTTAGCGGAGGCGCTACAGATAGACTCTTCTTCTGACCCATTCAATGTTCGCTCCACCTCTGTGTACAGCGACAGTCTCAAAGATGATGCCAGGTTTGATTCCTCTTTTTAAAAACATTTGTTACACACAGATTAACTTGTTTTAATCCTCAGAGCAATTGGAAACAAGTGGATTGTCACACAAACTTGCATGTTTGCTCCACTCTTTTTGTTTCAGAAAAGACCTGAAATTTGTCTCCGATGTAGAAGAAGAGATCAAAAATCTTATTGAGCTTGTCAATAAGGTAATGTGATTTATTTTAAACCTCTTTATTCACGTTTTGTTGTCTCGACTGTTGGGATATGTCAGCTGGTTTGTGACYTGACTCTGTCGGAACTCTTTATTTTATCTTTTCTGTCTTTATCCAAAAGTTGATGGTTTTTTTTAATCTCTTGTTTTTTTTATTTGCATCAGATAGTTTCTGTTGAAATAAAATAAACACTAAATGGGTCTGTTTATAGCTGCAGCTTAGTCATTTGTGTATGTACTCGCAGCTTTTGTCTTCATTCTTTTCTTCTGACCC